CCTGAAGATTAACCACCCTCAGACATTTCCCAGTACAGAAAAATGGTTTGCATTTATTTCCCAAATCCTCCCTGAGTTTCTTACTCTATCTCCTGCAGTCAGGCTGGCTTCAGTTACAGAGGCCACATTCCACCCAGACTCTGCCAGTCCCCACCCCCCTTAGCTCTCAGAAGTTTGAGTGCAGATTCCTTGAGCCCACCTGTCTTTAACCTGTATCTAGAGATTTCCTCCTGGTCCCCTGCTGGATCTCAGCCTCCCAGGGTACTCTTGGGAACCATAGTGAAAAGGAGAAAAGTTCAGGAAGGATTGGCCTTTGCCTTCAGCCACTTGTAGCAGCTTGACTGTCTCCCAAGTGTTTGTAAAATATGCAAGTCTGAACGTACTACCACTTGACAGTGCATGCCACTCAGGACTGCACCATGGTCAGTATGAGACTGAGAATTAATAACGGTGAGTGATTATCATGGAAACTGTCTCCAGGAAAAACGACCAGGTTTTTACATTCAACCTTGGGAAGATAAAATCAAGCCTAGCAGAAAAAAAGACAAATGATCCAAGAGCAAACGCAAGACTTGAAACCCAAAGAGTATCCTGGGGCCTGCTTACACCACTTCCTCATTGTGTGTCCCAGAGACAGGAAAGGGAAGATGAGGTATCTCCATCCCACCCATCACCCAACACAGAATCCCATGCTCATTCTATTGGGTCACAGGAAAAGTCATGACGTATTCTTTCTACATTTTTCTAAGCAAAAATGTGTCATAACTTTCCTGATAATCCAGTAGGTTGCCCCAAACACCTTGTCACTCGAATTTCACTCTACTATCAATTTGGTTCTCTGCCTCTGCTCAACTCCATCTATATGACTTGTCAAGACCCTGCTCATCTCCTGTTATAGCCTCTTTCTCCATCAAACACTCTACCTGCCCCCGTCCCAGTCCTGCCTCTAGGAGACCCAGGAAAAACAGAAATCTCATCACATTTCCCTACTTGAAAACCATCGGTGAACAAGAACAGCAAAATATTTATCACTGTTAAAGGTTGCATGATGCAAACATGGGAATTTATTTTATTATTCTGGCATTTGCATATGTTTAAAGTTGTTCATAATAAAACAAATCTTCAATGGCCTTGCAGAGATCTTAAGTTCAAAGTCAAACTGGCATTCAAGACCCCTCAGGATATGCCCCTTCCCAATTTGACCAGCCCACCTCCTAGCACTCACAGCCCTGTGACCTCCCTGTCACCAGCCCTGGTGACAATCCCCAGACTGTGAGGTCTAGGTGAGCTCTCTTGGCACCTGCAGCCCTAGTTTGCGCACAAATCTCCTCCTCATAGAACACCCTTCCCCTTTTGTCCTGCCTGGAAAATGCTTTCTCATTCTTTTGAAATACAGTGCAAATGACCCCTGGTCTGAAACATCTTCTTGACCCTCTCCTAGCCTCTGTGGAGAGAAGGAAAGCCTTGTGCCCTGGTGTCTCCTCAGGCCTGATATATACCAAACAATGTGTGTTT